AGACTATGCCTAGCAATAGCCGCAACAAACCTTTCTCGAGAGAACAAGGCATCAGCTGCCATCGCTACGTTTATATCTTCGTTTTACAGAGCACGCTTTGGACATGTCATCCTGTCTTCCCCGGCTTTGTCAATGAAAATAGATATAAATANATCACTTTCGTGAGTGCAAGAATTGGTTTTCACTGTAATCAGGAGAGGTGAAACTGACATTTGTACACATAAGCTTAAAATGTCATATCTGCCAACTGCGGTTTCAAAACACTTTGATTAATATTCTGGCTGCAACTGCTGTAACGACTTCACATCACTGGCACGAGAACAATGCCGTCTTAACTTGTCTTATTTTGTCTATTGAAAATATCCAGTATGAGGGAAAAAAAGTTACTATTATTGCTTCATTTTTTGGGCCTTAAATTCGCTGAGTACATCGTAAATAGTTTACAGTACTTTGTAAAAGGTTCTCGCTAGGAGAACCGTGTGGTGTTGGCCTAAACTAGTTCCCAATGTTCTGTGACGCGTGACTCTCTTAAACCGCAACATAGAAACGGAAAAGCAGATAAACGCCTTGGATTGCGACAACATGTCAGCTGACGTCTACACAACAAAGCGTCATTTCTAGATCTCGGCTTCTACATTTACTTAGAGTAAGCTAGAGACTAAGGCTAGCAATAGCCGCAGCACACCTTTCTCGAGAAAACAAGGCATCAGCTGCCATCGTTACGTTTATATCTTCATTTTACAGAGCACGCTTTGGGCATGTCATCTTGTCCTTCCTTTGTCAATGAAAATTGATATAACGAATTGTCTACCTAAAATTAGGATCAGTCAACCTGTCATGTGCACATATTGCTTTTTATCTCATGCCCAACCAAGCGACCAGCCGTTGCACAATGTAAAGTATCTGACCAGTCTCATCCTTAAATGTTCCCCGGGATTAAAGACGTACTACAATTTTTCCTGAGTGACAAGAGCTTCAAACAAAGGCAAAAGCAGATAGATGTCTGCTTGCGGACTAGCATCTCCATGGAGAACTGGTAGTGAGTACGCCCCTGTGCGTGCAAAACAAAACGCAAAACTTCTGCCTTGTTAGGACAGGCTTTAATTACAAGTCCTTTGTCACCGGCATGCAAAGCAAATATTGGGAAACAAGAATGCTGTATGACTTAAGATCAA